GCAAAAGACTCAGCGCCAGAAAAACGGAAACTTGGGCCTCGAACTTGCCTTATGGTGTAATAAACGAAGAACGTTATCGAAATGGAGAAGCAGGCAATCAAACCCGCGAATAGGTTTAGGTAGAATCTTTCGACATTCAGACCACCACCGATGACAACAGCAGCTGCTGCAGCGAAGTAACCGAATATAACTGCCAGAGTTATAATTAACACGGATCGATAGATGTTTTTCACGTTGATAGTACCTGAAAAGAAGCGTAAAGATCGGAGATAGAAGCATTGAATCCATCAGACTAAGTTCTCTTTTTTGTGACTTTGCTATGTGAATACGGTGGTCTTAAAACGTTCCCGACTTCTGTTTCACACGCAATGCTTTACAAACTTGTGATGCTTCAGAGATCATGTCTCAAAGTAATTGTGGCACATCAGGAACTGCCCGGAAATATTACAATTCCTCTTTTCTATTTATTCCGGAATTCAGAGCTCGAAAGTCGTCAAATATTTCATTTCGTTGCTCCGACTGTTTGCCACCATTGGTCTGAAAGCAAATCGAAATATCAATCACTGCTCAAAGTGTGCAGTGCCACCTTTGATCAAAATTTGGAAACGGCAGATTACACCATTTATAGTATGAGTAGGGTCTCTTTGTTGATACCAGACTCGCACTAGGGAATTGAAACACTGACTTGAATATTGGATATCCACCGTAAGTCATTGTATAAGCCACATACGCATTATATACACCACCACTATTCTGAATGGAAATGAATCGCATTCCGTAGATGGAATCTATTGACTCCGGAAACTTCATCTTGTATCCTTTTCAATGGTCAGGTCGCCTGCAGGAATCCGGGCTCTCCTTTTCTTTGTATTAAAATTAGCCCACCGCCTGCACTCCTTTCATACTCTCACGCTCTGCTAAAGTAGAACAGGAATCATTGAATTGCATTCAAAGACACAGCACTCCGTCACAGTTCTCCACTGATTGCGCCTTAAATTCATATTGTTGCTCAAATCGCGCTCTCTTCACACAAGTTCCGCTCTCTCCCTCCGAGTTCCTCTACCTCCTCGCACTTTCCTTCTCATCCAGCCGCCTATACTTATGGCTAACGCCGGGCTTCCCTCCTTCTTATGGTGTCGCCCTGCTTCGCCGGGCGCTCGTCCTTCCTGTGAGAAATAACTGACTGACACTAACTGACACTTCGGATTCTCCTTTTCCTTTGAAAGCTCTATACCCTCAATATTAGCTCCGAACTGGCAGCGATTTTTTCTGTATTATAATTGATAATATACCAATTAGAAGTCTCGATTCATTGCTCCTCATCTCGAGTGATGGCTTAAGTCATTGACAACCAATGTCTTGAATGGTACCCAGAAATGGATAATAACGCCTATCACAGATGTCGTTATCAATGGAACATTTTCCCCACGGATTTTTCATTAATTGGGAATCCCAACTCATTAGTGGTCAGATGAGTTTGGTCACAAATGATATTTCACAAAACAAAAAGGAGTCGTGGTACTTCATTGTGTCACAAAGCTTACTGCATAACGGTCATAGTTTAATAGCAAGAAATGAACAA